ATTCCTCTCGGCGCTGAATGCCGCCTGGAGGAGCATCTACCAGGTGAGTGTGCGAGGCTGCGTCGCACGCTTGCCGCAGTGAGGAGTGGGGAACAGGGAAGGCGTGAGTGAATTTTACCCTGCAGGGTGAACCCAGCTTCCCCATGAAGGACAGGAGGGCCACAGAGCTCCTCCGTGTCCGTGTAACCACAGGATGTGGGATTCGGAGCCAGAGTCCCCTGGCAAGACGGGCCCTGAGCATCCAGGGCTGGCGAGAGAAGCGGGGAGGGACTTGGGTCAGCCCTGTCCCCCTCCGTCACCCATATTTATGACACGAGCACCTTTTTTTTGAGGTGGTTTGACACCGAAGGGGAGAAGCAACTGTCCTTCATTCCCCTCCTGACCGCCCCGCACGTGTGTTTCAGGTCGACCTCCTGCACAAGGCCGGTCTGGACGCCGCCGTCAAGAAGAAATGCGAAGACGCTCAGAGCCTCATCGACAGCGCCTGGCAGCGCAGCGACAGCCTCTGCCGCGGGCGAGCGGAGCGGGACCCCTGGTGTTAACCCCGGCCGGAGGGGCAGGACGGCTGACGGGGGGGGGGGGGGGGGCCCGTTTTTGGGGAGCAGGGCCTGTACCCGGGCTGCCCCGCGGCCAAACTGGCGCCCAAACCCCGCTGCCAGCGCTCGGGTGGTGCCTGCAGGCATCCTGCCCCCCCCCACGCTCTCCGCTGCGTCGGGGACCTCCAGCACGTTTTGGGGGGAGACACCAGACACTTCACCACGCTGGGGGCGAGGCTGAGCTCGGCCGCTTTCCTTGTGCAGCCGTGCAGGAGAGCTCACACCCTCCTCCTCGCCCAGCTGCCAGGGGGGCAAAATAATTTGCCTTTCACGGAATAACATCCCGCTAGTAGTGAGGGAGAGGGTGGGAGCGGGGTGGGCTGGGGATGAGCATCCCCCCGTCGCGGAGCGGGACTGAGGACTTGTTCATTTTAGAACAGGGCAGGGGCGCAGAGGTGGCGAGATGGGAACACGAAATCGCTGCCGTGCATGTTTTCTCCTTGCTAATACAATCACCGAGTACGACACCGCTTCGCCTCCTCCTTCCGGCATCTCCCAGCGCCAGGAGATCGCGCTCGGCACCTCCAGCCATCACAAAAACCACGCCCCAGCCTGGTGATGAGATTTGAGGCTAAGGAAGAAGGACCGGGGCCAAAAATTTGGCCTGAAATATCCCAGCACGGTTTGAGATCTCAGAAGCCGGTCTGAGGTCTGGACGCTGGCCCCGTGCGCCCGGGGGGAGAGAAGAGACCGAATCCGATGTTCCCCAGGTGTCCTCGGGGCCCTTGGCTGCCGTGCCCCGTTCTCAGCTCACTGCAGCCGAGGCCGGGGAGGGCCCCGTCGCCGCTTGCGCTCTACAGCCAGCCCTTGGGGGCACAACCCCAGCTTTTAAATAATAATAATCCGGAGACCGTCTGTAATACACATTCACGGGGCCTTTTTCTGGGAGGAAACGTACGTGACTGAATGTATATGTATATACATCTGCTTCCTTTCCCCCTCCCCAAATAAATATTCATTGGTAACTCAGCTTTGGCCCTACGACAGGCGGGTGGCTGCTGTTCCTCCTCCACCCCCCACAACCTCAAGCCTGCGGCTTTGCTTTGGGGCAGGAAGGGAGATATTTAGGCTGAAGAAAGGGGAGGACGTGCCCCCCCAGCTCCTCGCTGAACCCCGGCGGCGTTAACCCCGTGGCGGGGCACGTTCACGGCTTCAGCCACGAGTTACCCTGATGCTCCAGCCCGGTTTATCCCTGGATCCGGGAGATATTCCCGGTCTAGACAAGGAATAAACAGCCCTGGGGCCAGCCCCCAGCATCACGCATCTCCCCCAGCAACCCTCCCTCACCTTTGGGGATCAAAGGGGGGATATTGGGGGGGGGGGAGGGAGTTTGGGGGTTTTCCCCTGCACCCCCATTAATCACCGCAGCGCCGTGGTGTAAACGTGGGTCCCGAGGGGGTCACTGCGCAGCCCTAAAAAATCTGAGGGGACACAGACACAGACAGCGACACACCCCCTACAGCTTTTTGGCCTGGGAAGCTCCGATTTCAAAGCATTTCGGTAACCTCGAGAGGGGCCGGTGCAGGGAGAAGGGTGACACACACACACACACACACACACCCCCCCGCAGCCACCGGTGCAACAAGCCGGTCAGTTCTCATCGCTCCCCCCTGGGGCTCGTCCGCCTGGCTGCCGGGGGGAGGTGCAGATGTCTGCGTGTGTGTGTGTGTGTGTGTCCCCAAAACCCCCCTTCCTCGGCATTTATTTCAATTTTTTTTGGGGGGGGGGGGAGCAGAAATGACCTTTTTTTTTCTTTTTTTTTTTTTTCTTTTTTTTTTTTTTTTTTTTTTCCCTATTTGCGCCGGGGCCCCACCACGTCACGTGAGACGAGGACGCCTGGCCGGGATTTGGCTGCCGGGTGCGCGTCGGTGCTGGGGAGGGGGAAATGCACCCTTAGGCCTGACCTTTGCCCCAGATCCCTTCCCAAATTGGGGGGGCAACTTCAGGTCGGGGGTGTGTGTGTGTGTGTGTGTGTGTGCGTGTGTGCAGGAGGAGGCGCTCACTCCCCCCCCTTTTTTTCCCCGCAGCGGGGGGGGGGGGGGTGGAGCCTGGGGCCATCCCCGCAGGCAGGTGCTGGATGGCGGCGGGCGCCGGGGCCCTCGCACCCTTCCCCGGGGTCCCCCCCGCCTCCCTGCAGGAATTCCCTTACCCCCCCCAAAAGAGACCCCGCGTGGGCCGGGGTTCCCCGAGCGGGGGGGTACCGCCGGGGATCGATTTGGTGCTGGGAGCGGCGGCCGGCTGCTTGGCCTGCGTCCTCACCAACCCGCTGGAGGTGGTCAAGACGCGGTTGCAGCTCCAGGGCGAGTTGCAGCCCCCCGGCACCTACCCCCGGCCCTACCGGGGGGTCCTGCGGGCCGTGGGGGCCGTGTGCCGGGCCGACGGGCTGCGGGGGCTGCAGAAGGGCCTGGCCGCCGGCCTCCTCTACCAGGGGCTGATGAACGGGGTCCGGTTTTATTGCTATTCCCGCGCCGAGGGGGCCGGCTGGACCGGGTATCCCGGGGGCACCGTGGCCGCCGGGGCCGTGGCCGGGGCGGTGGGAGCCTTCGTGGGCAGCCCCGCGTACCTGGTGAGTGCCGCTCCGCCCCGCAAGCCCTCACGTCGCGGGGGGGTTGAGATTTTGCGGGACACCTCCCCCCCCCCCCCCCCCCCCCCCCAAAAAAAAAAACAACCTTTGGCCAGCCTGGAGCGTAGCAGCATCCTATAAACACCGGCCCGCTGCATCCCTTCTCCCCCTGCTTTGCTTTGCTTCACTCCCCCAAAATGTGGGGCTGCTTTGTGCACGCTCCTTCTCAAACCCCCCCTTTGTCCCTCAGATCCTCCCCTCCCAGAAACCCGAGGGGAGAACTCCCTCATGAGGGAATTGAGGTGTTTTTCCCCATCTTTTCAGGGGGTCTCCCCTATTCTGGGGGTTGCAGAGCTCAAAGGAGGGGAGGCAGGGGGGCTGTAGCAAATGTTCATGGGGGGGCCCTTTGCCCTGGGACGGGAGGGGGGGAAATGGGGTTTGAAGTCTGGAGGCACCATTTGGCAACACATCTGGGCACCCCCACATCTACCAGAGGGGCTTAAAACACCCCCAAAAGCTGCTAAGAAGAGACAGGGAGGAGCCACAGCCCATCCCCGGTGGAGGCTTGGGGGGGGGGGGGGGTTCGTTACCCGGCACTGTCCCCCCCCCAGGTCAAGACCCACCTTCAAGCCCAGACGCTGGCAGCCGTGGCTGTGGGCCACCAGCACAACCATGAGGTGAGCAGGGATGGGGGGGGGGACAGGATTCGGTGGCACCTTGGCCGGGCACGTGCCAGGACCCGGCGGGGACGATGCTATTTTGGGCGACGGGTATTTAAAGCTGCTGTTTGGCATCTCGGCCCCGTGCAAGCGCTATAAATAACGGGAGGAGGACGCGGAGGGGGTGACGGGGACGCAGAGCCGTGACACCGGATCCAGACATCCCTTCGGGGCCAGTCGCCCCACCGGAGCCACGGTGGCCGCACAGGGGTTTGGCAACGCCAGGGTGGGAAATTTTGCCGCGGTGGGATGCACCGTTCCTGTTTCCCCCCCCCCCCAAATTTCTTCTCAGAGCATCTCCGGCGCTTTCAAGAGCATCTACGGGCAGCACGGGGTGGCGGGGCTGTGGCGGGGGGTGACGGGCGCCGTGCCCCGCGTGGCCGTGGGCTCGGCCGCGCAGCTCGCCACCTTCACCTCTGCCAAGGACTGGGTCTGTGAGCGCCAGGTGAGGCGAGGGCACCCCTCCCTCCCAGCTCCCCGGGGGTGGTGGTTTTTTTTGGGGGGGGTGGGGGGGAGGGAATTGCTGACGGCCGGTGCTTCCTGCAGTGGTTCGGGGAGGGCAGCTGGGCTGCGGTGCTGGCGGGGGGCATGGTGAGCGGCGTGGCCGTGGCGGTGACGATGACGCCCTTCGATGTGGTCAGCACCCGCCTCTACAACCAGCCGGTGGACGCCGACGGCACGGTAAGGCCCTTCGGGAAGGCGGGAGCCGGGGTTGGGGGGGGGGGGGGGGCGGGGGGCACGGCTTTTCCCGGGATTGCATCCGGCAGGGGTGCGCAGCCCGGCTCCTCTCTCCCCAGGGCAAGCTCTACCGGGGTTTTTTGGATTGCATCCTGCAAATCTCCAGCAAAGAGGGGCTGCTGGGCTTGTACAAGGGCATCGGCGCCGTCTACCTCCGCCTCGGCCCCCACACCGTCCTCAGCCTCTTCTTTTGGGATGAGCTCAGGAAGATGGTGCAGCACCAGCAGCCCCCAGGGCCGTAGGCCGAGCTCCTGGCCCCGCCGTGGCCATTAATAAAAGGGGTTTTTCTATTTTTGGAGTCGTTTCGGGGTCTTTGGGGTGGTGCAAAGAGGCACTGGGGGGGGGGGGGGGGCGGGTCATGCCCTGCAAAGCCGGGACCTGAAAGGCCACAGTGCATCGGGTTGGAGAGGACAACGGCAGTGCCGGGGCAGGGGGATTAAAGCTGCTGGGGGTCCCCGAGCCCCACCATGTGCATCCCATCACCACAACCCTCTCGCCGCCCCAATTTTCCCCTCCACGGGGCAGCTGGAGCTCAGCTCCTCCATCGGGGGCTCCAGCTGCCCTTGCTTGCCCCAGCAATGATTTACTAGCCAGGGGGGCCGCTCCCAGCCTCCGCCCCGTGGACCTTGGAGCCGGGGCCTGGCTGCGCCGTGGCTCCTCTCCACCAAAAATGTTTTTCCTGGGGTCCTGGCTGCCGGCGTTGCCTGGGCTGGCGTGGGGCTGGGCGCTGCTGGATGCGCTCCTGCAAGGTGAGAGCCCCCGGGGTGGCACGGGGACGGCCCGGGGACATGCCGGTGACCCGCTGCTGCCTTTTCCCTCGCAGGGTTGGTGGGTGCCTGCGCTGTCTCGGTGCTCTGCAGCCTCCTGAAGGTTTATCTCTACATCCAGTGCCTGAAGTAAGCACCGGCCCTTCCTCCCCCCAAGCCCCGGGGGGTTGGTTTTGGGGAGCTGCTTTTGGGATTGCTCCTGAGCTCCACTGCTGGCGGCGGGGGCGGCTCTCGGCACCCACGGGTGCTGGCGGGGGCCTGAGCAGGGCGAGGGCTGCCCCCTCCTCTCCCCGCTGCAAAGCACAGCGGGGAGGTCTCCCAGGCCGTCACCCCAGTTTTGGGGTAGCGGAGGAGGAAGGGGACACCCCGTCCGGCTCAGCGTGTCCCCCGCGCTGTCCCCAGCGACCCCGAGAGGCAGGCGGAGAAGGAGGCGATCCGGGCGCAGCGGTGGGTGCTGGACCCGCTGCACGTGGTGGTGCTGACGGGGGTGCTGGCGCTGGTGGGCTCCCGCGTGGCTGCGCTGGTGGTGCTGGAGTTCTCCCTGCGCGCCGTGTCCGCCGTCCTCTCCCTCAGCAAGGTGAGACGGGACAGGGGAGACTGAGGCACAGCGGGGTGGCAGCGTGGAGGGAGCCGGGAAGCCATCCGCCCCTTGCAGATTTGCGAGGGGGTTGCTTTGCAACCGTGCGTCCCTCGCAGGTTTGCAGCAGCCACGGGGGCTGTGGCATGGAGGAGACCGGGCACCGCTTTGCAGCCGCACACCCCCTCGCTGCTTTGCAACGCCTGCGGGGGGCACGGGGATGTGTTGCATCCCCTTGCTGCTCTGTGGCCTCCGTGGGGAGGGTGGGGGTGGCTGGCACGGAGGAGACCACGCGTGGCTTTGCGGCCGCGCGCCCCCTCGCTGCACGCAACGCCTGCGGGGCTGTGGGGGGCTGCAGCATGGAGAAAGCCATTCAGTGCTTTGCGCCCGTGCATCCCCTTGCGGCTTTGCATCAGCTGCAGGGAGGATGAGGGCTGTGGCATGTGCAAAATAATGCATCGCCCTGCTGCATGCAGCACCCGTGGGGTCTGAGAGCTGTGGCATGGAGGAGCCTATGCATCCTTCTGCTGCTCTGCAACCTCTGTAGGAAGGATAAGGATGGCTGGCATGGAGAAAACCATGCGTTGCTTCGCATGCATGTCTTTGCAACCGTGCAGCCCCTTGCCGGTTGCAACCCCTGAAGGGGTGCAGCACGGAGGAAGCCGTGCGCCGCGTTTGCAGCCATGCATCCCCTGGCTGCTTTGCAACCTCTGCTCTCGCAGGGCGCCCACAGCAGCCAGCTCTACCTGCTGTGCCAGTACTCGCTGGGTTGCGGGGTGTCCTGCGGCCTCAGCTTCTTGCTGGAAGGGGCTCCCCACGGGACCTGCAGCCTGGTGCTGGCGGCGGGGCTGGCAGGGCTGCTGGCCGCCTACGCCCGGCGCCTGGCTCGTCACGTCTGCACCCTCTACGAGCTGCACAGCCGAGCGCGTTACTGCGGCATCTGCATCCTCCTCCTCGCCGCCGGGCACGGCATCCCCCGGCTGCTCCGCAATGCTCTGGCCGTCACCTTTGCCGTGGCCGATCTGGCTGCTGTGGCGCTCATCAACCGGGATTTCCTCTCCGCGGCGGAGGCCGTCCGCTTCTGGACGCCGCTCACCATCTGCTACACGCTGCTGGTCAGCTACATGCAAGGTGAGGAGGGGACTGAACCCCCAATTATGGGGGTGTTTTGGGGGTGTTGAAGGGGTATGTCCCAGTACGGGGCATCCTGGGGGTGTATGGGGCAGGTGTGTGGAGCACCCTCAAGGTACATGGGGCATCCAGGGGGTATATGGGGCTGTATGGGGCCACAGGGGGGTATCCTGGGGCTGTGCAGGGGAACATGGAGCATCCTGGGGGTGTATGGGGCACCCTCAAGGCACATGGGGCATCCAGGGGGGTGTACGGGGCTGTACGGGGTCATTCTGGGGCTGCATAGGGGAACATGGGGCATCCTGGGGGGTGTATGGGGCTGTATGGGGCATCCTGGAGGGTGTATGGGATTGTATGGCACGTCCTGGGGCTGTATGGGGGCACAGGGGGCATCCTGGGGGTGTATGGGGCTGTATGGGGGCACAGGGGGCATCCTGGGGGTGTATGGGGCTGTATGGGGGCATTCTGGGGCTGTATAGGGGAACATGGGGCATCCTGGGGGGTGTATGGGGCTACATGGAGCGTCCTGGGAGTATATGGGGCTGTATGGGATGTCCTGGGGCTTTACGGGGGCACAGGGGGCATCCTGGGGGTGTATGGGGCTGTATGGGGGCATTCTGGGGCTGTATAGGGGAACATGGGGCATCCTGGGGGGTGTATGGTGCTGTATGGCACGTCCTGGGGCTGTATGGGGGCACAGGGGGCACCCTGGGGGTGTATGGGGCACCCTCAAGGTACATGGGGCATCCAGGGGGGTGTACGGGGCTGTATGGGGGCCCAGGGAGTATCCTGGGGATGCAGGGGCCCACCCGAGACTGTATAGGGTATATATGGGGCACCCTGGGGCGGGATGCAAAGCTACCCTATAGCATGCCCGAGATGCACGGCGTTGGCCGGGCGCGGGGCTGGGGCGGGCGCGGGGTCCCCGGCAGCGCGTCCTTGCAGAGGAGCCGCGGCGGAGCGCTGGTGGGCGGCCGGTTTACCAGACGGTGCTGGTACGGATGGGCGGCCTCTTCATCCTCCTCCTCACCGTTGGCCGTTGGACCGACGTCCTCCACGTCCTCATCTCGCTGCTGGGAGAGCTGTGGTGCCTGCTCCGCGCCGGCGTCATGCTGGAGGTGTGCTGGCGGCAGGTGAGATGAGGTGCCCACCGCCCTGATGCCAGGGTGAGGGGCTGGCGGCAGCCCCGAAGCCACGGCGAGGGGCCTTTCTGCTTCTCTTCCTCCATCTCCTATAGGATTTCATCCAGCAGTCTCGGCTGGGTAGGCGGTTGGGATCGGAGGAGACGTCCTGATAAGCTGTGGGGTGTAACTGGGCATCAGAAACTCAGGGTGGCTTCGCCCAGCTCCCCAAAATACGGGTGCCCCCCCCAATCCTCCTCATCGCAGGTCCCCCATGGGGACGAAGGAAAAAGGACTCCCAGAAGGTGCTCGACCCCATCCAGCGGGGTGGGGAAGGTTGTGGGGAGGCTCGTGCAGCCCCTGGTTTTTAGGGGAACCCCACAAGGTTGCAGCGTTGCTGGGGGTTTGCTCCCTGGTCCCGCTGGGGACGGGGAATGCTGACAGATGCGCCTGTCTTTGCAACAGCGTGGCCCTGCAGCCACCAGTGCAGGAGGTGGCTTATAAATTTCAGAAAATAAAGGTGTTTTTTTTTCCAGCAAAATCTGTGGGCAGAATGAGCTGGGGTGCCATTGTGTCAGAGAGGGGCTCGGGGACAGCGGCAGTGCGGCTTTTTGGAGGGGGTGGGCGGTGTGGTTCCTCCCCAGGAAGGGAAGCAGAGGCACAGAGGGAGTGACCCTCCAGCTGAGAGGTGCCCCCGTGCCTCAGTTTCCCCACGTGGCTGCAGCCGGCCGTGCCCTGATGTGGGACACCAGGCCCTGCACAGGTGGGGTGCAATTTGGGGAGGAAGGGAGGTCCCTAATAGTGGCTGCTTGCCTGGGCAAGGGACCCCAGCCCCGGGGGTGGGGAGCAGGAGAGGGGCTGGGACAGTATGGGGCATTCTGGGGGTGTATAGAGGCAGTATGGGGCATTCTGGGGGTGTATAGGGGCACATGGGGCACCCTGGGGTGGCATGGGGGGGCATCGGGGCTGTATGGGGCACCCTGGGGACACGGGACAATCTGGGGGGGGGTGGGGTGGTATTCCAGAGCATATAGGGGCACCCAAGGGGCCATGGTTCACCTTGGGGTGCACGGGGCAGCCAGAGGGCTCTGGGGGCACCCCTGAGGACATATGGGGCACCCCCTTGGGTCCTTGAGGCACCCTGAGGTCCCACGGAGCACCCTGGGGTGCACGGGGCAGTCAGGGGGGCCCATGGGGCACCCCAAGGTGTATGGGCCACCCTGAGAACGTATAGGGCACCCCATGTCCTCTGGGGCACCCCAGGGTGCATGACACACGCCTAAGGACATGTGTGTGTCCCGCCCTCACCCCACCCCGCTCGGGGCCGTGGGGCAGGCAAGGGGGGGAGGAGGAAGGGAGGAGGAGGAGGAGGAGGAGGAGGAGGAGGAGGAGGAGGGAGGAAGGGGCGGTGATGCCGGGCGGCTCTGCCTCCCCGCTGCCCCCGCCGCGCCGGGCAGGGCGCGCCCGCGGAGCGCACGGAGGGACCCGCAGCGGCTGCCCAGGTAGGGGCCAGGGATGGGGGGCCAGGGTCCCCCCTCGAGAGGCAGGCGGGGCTGCAGGGCCACCCCCCCCACCCCACCCCACCCCGGGCAGGCGACCCCCTGCCCCCCGATTAGGGGAGCTTTCCCCCCCGCCCCGCCAAAGTAAGACATCCCCCCCCAAGTCGGGGAGAGGGGGCATCCCCAGGGAAGGGACAGGGGACCCCCCCCAGGTAAGGGGATAAGGATTGTAGAGCTGTCCTAAAACAGGACAAGGGGATCAAGAGCCACCCCCATGTAGGGGACGGGGGGGACACCCCCAGGTAGGGGATGGAGGGGTCTCCGGTAGCGGGGAGCGTGGTGGGGCCACATAGGGGACGGGGCACCCCCAGGTGGGCTGTGGGGCTACCCCGTGGGAGACGGGGGATTGCAGGGGGGTGCTAGGCCACCCCCCCAAGTAAGGGACAAGGAGACACCAAGGGCTGTGTCCCCTCCACCCCGTCCCTTCTCCCTTGGGCATCCTCAGAGCGCTCACCAAGGAGTCTCCAGGGCAGGGGACAGAGTTGGGGGACAGTTGTAGGAGGGCCATGCCCCATCCCAATTTTGGGGGGCATGTGGGGGTGCCCCATAAGCGGCCCTGTCCCCATTAGTCCCACCTGGGCTCCCACCCCAGGACACTTTGGGGTGATGCTTGTAGGAAACCAGGGGGGCCCTTCCCAGCATGGCCTCGGCCATCCCAAAACAGGATGAAGCTACGTGGGGGGGACACCCCATTAAAAAAGAGGGGGGGGGGCAAACCCCATTAATGCACCCCTCAAGCCTCAACCACCCCGATGGGCCCCGACCAGAGGGGGAACGGGGGGTGCCGTGATGGGGCCGCCGGGATCCCATCAGCCCCGGCACAAAGAGGAATGCGACGAGCACATGGTTCCCATTAGCTCTGGAGATTTTTTCTTTTTTTTTTTTCTTTTTCGGGATGTTTTTTTATGATTATTACTTTTTTTTTTTTTTTCCCTATTTTCTGCAGCGTGGCCGGGGAGGAGGAAAACTGGCGGCTCCCGCGGGCGAGGATTTGAGCGGCCGGGCAAAGGCTGGCAGCGCCGGAGCCCGTTTGGGGTTTCGCCGGCGGGGAGGGAGGGAACGAGGGAGCGAAGCCGCTCGGGGTTTTTTCCTTTTTAATCCTTTCCCCTGCTTGAGTCAGAGGCTGAAGTCACCGGCGTGCACATCCCGAAGCTTTTCCCCCACTGCAGGGGACTGCCTGCCCCCCAAAAGGATGCACCGACACCCGTGAGCAGGATTTTGGGGGAGCGGAGCCACCCTGCACTGGGGCATGAGACTGGGCGACTCATCACACAGGTATTTTCCACGCCACCGATTCGTCTCGGGGATGAATCCTGCTTTACCAGTGGAGCACCCTGGCTAAAGCCTCGGGGTTCCCCCCCTCAAACCATCCCATCTGGGAAGGGGAAGCTTCGTCCCAGCTGCTTTTCCCGTTGGGAAGCTGAATAAACAGCCCTTTTCCTTCCTGAGCGGGGTTTATCGGGGTCAGGCACATCCTGCCTGCACCGCTGGGCGATGCTCGGGGGCTGTCTCAGTGATGGGGACACGGCAATTTGCAGCATCGTGCCTCAGTTTCCCCATCTGCAAAAATAAAGGGGGGGCATGCCCGGGAGCTGGGAGTGATTAGTGGGGAGGTGGAGAGGGAATGGGGAGCCAGGGAAACCTAGAAACACCCCAAAAAAGGGTTTGCAAAAGCAGAATCTATTGCAACCCCGTTTTTAAGAGGAAGGGTGGGTTTTTCCCGGCTGCCCACCAGGAGTTTAATCCCAGGTGGAGGCAGTAAGAGGAAATAAAGGGGGTTGAAATGCTTACAGAAGGGTGGAGTTTGGTCACAGAAGCCTGAAAATGGCTGATTTCGGATGCTGTTTCTCCAGGACCCTTTATTCCGTGTCCTCCCAGGCATGAGACCGTTTATTGCCGTGACGTGGGACAGGGACTTGATCCTTCTCCCTTTCCGGGAGGCCGGGGAGGGAGGCGTGTTGAGGCCGAAGGGCAGCGCGGCTGTGGGAGCTCCTGGTGTGCCCGTGGGTTTCGCTCCTTTTTTACCTTATTTTCCCCCAAACTGAACCCAGGTCGAGCCCCTCCGCGGCTTCCGTGATGCTGCCGGGGAAAGCAGAGAAGAGGATCGCTTCGTCAGTCTTCATCACCCTGGTGCCACCGCGGAGGGAGGTGGCTGTGAAGGAGAAAACCCGAAGGGAGCTGCAGGCGGACAGTGCCGGGGTCCCGGGCACCCGTCAGCCCCGGACCCCACCGCCGCAGCCCCCTGTGCTGCCCAACGGAGGTGAGGGGTGTCTGCGGGGGGGCTGTGAGCGGTGCCGGGAGGATGATGACGGTGCCAAGGATGCTGCGGAGATGCTTTGCTAAAGGATGCGCGTGCAGGCAGGAGGAGATGTGGGGTTTTTTTTTGGGGGGGGGGTGGGGGGTTATTCCCCAAATCCCTGCACCCATCCCGGGATGGACCCGCCTGCCAGGGAAGGGCTGTGTTTGTTCTCCGTCGCTGGGTGCTTATCGGTGCTGTTTGTCCGCTCCGGCCAGGGCAGTGTTTGCTTTTGGGGCAGGTTGGCGAGCACCACTGCAAAGCTCTCGGGGTGTTATTGGACGTTATTGCCCCCCTAAACCCACCCTGTCTGGCTTTCACTGCAGAAACCCGCCCAGAGGCCCCTGTGCCTTCATCCCCGCCCGTCCTCCTCCTCTCCAAAGCACCCCAGCCCTTGTCCGTGGAGGCGCTGGGTCCGGCGCTGCAGCAACTGGATCTTGCAGCGCCCGCCACGCTCCAGGTGAGGACGATGGGGTGCAACCACCCCAGCGCCTCAGTTTCCCCACCTGCAAGAGCATAAACGTAACGTGCCTTCGCCTTCCCCCGCTCACCAGGCCCCTTCTGCCTTCCCCGCCGAACTGAGGCCGCCCAAATTTTGCCAGGAGCAAGCAGGCAAGCCGCAGTGGCAGGATGCAAATGGGTACCCGGAGAGGGACAGCTCCAGAGGTAAGGGGACACACACACACACACACACACACACCCCCAGCTGCGCAGTGGGGGCTCGTCTCCAGTTGGGGGAAACTGAGTCACACAGCCCCGAACGCCTCTCCCTTCCTCCTGCAGACATCTGCGCCTTCTGCCACAAAGCGGTGGGACCCCGGGAGCCGACGGTGGAGGCGATGCGGAAGCAGTACCACGCCGACTGCTTCACCTGCCGGACCTGCCACCGGCTCCTGGCCGGCCAGCGCTACTACCAAAAAGACGGGCGCCCTACGTGCGATGCCTGCTACCAGGTGCCCGTCCTCCCTCGGGGACAAGCAGCAGCCTCGGGGGCGGCGGCAGGAGACGCAGTCCCTTGTTGGGGGGAGCTGGCATCTCACGGCCTCTGTGTGTGTGTGTGTGTGTCCCCAACCCAGGCCACGCTGGAGAAATGCGCCAAGTGCCGGGGGCTGATCGCAGAGCGCATTGTCCGCGCCCTGGGCAAGGGCTACCACCCTGGCTGCTTCTCCTGCACCGCCTGCGGCCGGGCCATCGGCACCGAGAGCTTCGCCGTGGACGAGCAGGACGAGGTGTACTGCGTGGCCGACTTCTACAGGTCGGGGAGCGTGGCAACGGGGGGAGCAGCATCCCCCCCCCCCCCCCCTGCATTGTGGGGGTTCGGCTTGTCCCTGTCACCCCCCAGGGCTCACGCCGCTCCTGCTTGCTCCCATCAGGAAATACGCTGCGGTTTGCAGTGCCTGCGAGCACCCCATTGTCCCCCGTGAGGACAAGGACACCTACAAGATCGAGTGCCTGGGACGCAGTTTCCACGAGAGCTGCTACCGCTGTGAGGTACAGCCCCGCCAGGCCCCCAAAAGCCGAGGGGTTTGGCACCGAGCCTTTGCAAAGCACGGGCGCAGGGCTAGCAGCAAGCAGGGTTATTTTTTTTCGCCAGCAGTTTATCTTGCAAGCGATGGGGAGGGCTAAAAATAAATAAATCGGGTGAAAAGGAGGATGTGTTTGGCCAGGCGAGCTTCAGCTTTTCAGACTTTTGATGTCGTTTGTTGCTGTTTCCAAGTGGTGGTGGGTTTTGCCGGGAAGATGGGATGCAGTGGCATGGTGGCTCTCATGCAATGCAGCGTGGGGACCCCTAAAACGTGGCCTCCCTTTTCCCTCTCGCCCCCAGAGCTGCGGGACACCCCTGTCACCGGAGCCGACGGAGAACGGGTGTTACCCCCTGGACGACCACCTCCTCTGCAAGTCCTGCCACGTCCGCCGACGAAATGAGTCGTCTTGCTAAAATCCCGTGGCTCAACCTCCGTCTTCCAGCACTGGACACCGAAAGGGGGGGTGCCCCTACCGGGATGTACCCCACAACCACTCCCAGGTGCCCACTGCACCCCCAAATTGCTGCAGGACTGGAGTTTTCATCACTGAAACGCACCCAGGACCCCAAGCCGCTGGGCTGGCCAGGCGGAGCAGCACAGATGTGGTGTCCTGGCACAGCTCTGTGCTCATTATGAACATAAAAAGCTCCGGCAGAGCCGCGGTGGTGGAGGAGCTGAAGTTTTGTTCATTTATTTCTTTTTTTTTTTTTTTTTTTTTAAATTTGTTTTCTGAGGCTGGTTTGGTTTCCTTGGGTGTTTTTTCTTTCTTCTCGAGCTTCCTTGGGGTTTCACTTAAACATTTCTCTCTGCGGTGACACAGAGAGCGGGCACTGATTTAGTTACTTGCAGTTAAATAAAGCCCCAAGTTTAAAAACCCTCATTTCTTTCATCCACCCTGCATTCCAAACCCATAAAACACAACTTTAAAAATAAGGAAAAAAAAAAAAAAAAAAGGCCCTTTTTAGATTTTTATAGGCATGGCAGGAGTCGGGTCTCTCAGGGTGATAACGCTGCTGGTTTGGAAGATGCCGCTGCTGCCAAGGGGAGGGTGGAGGGTCGTTTTGGGGGGGCTGGATCGAGGTTTCGCCATGTGCCGTGGTGTTGATGAAAGGGTGTTTGGTGGTGGGTTTCTTTTGCGGACAGCCTGCCCTGTCTGGGCTCCAGCTCCACCAAGTCCCGGAGCCGGCAGAGGGCAGCCAGAGCACAAATTCCTCCATCAGACAGAAAATCTCCAGCTAAGCGCCACCTCTCCTATATCCGACAGTGTCGGGATGCCGGGAAAGATCAACAGCCCCATTTTTGCACGTTATTCAAGATAACATCGCTCCACCATCAGAAGCTTTTTGCCCTTAGTCTAAGCCCCAAACCAGCAGAAATTAGACCGTTTCTCTTCATGCCCAACATCTGTGCAACTGATGTCACCAGTGCTTAGCAGTTTTGTTTGCGAGGGTGTTGCAAACCAGCCGGAGAAAGAGGGGGTTTCTTTTTAACCAAAAGTGCTTAAGAAGCCACAAATCGAGAACAGAAAAGAGCAAGAGCATCTGAGATGATGTTTAATACTTTCCTGATGAAAAAAAGGAGCTGCTAAAAAAAAACCACCCAACCAGCAGCCATACACTTCCAAGTCATGTTGTACAATGTCTCTCCAGCACATGCTATATTTATGAATGAAAGGGTTAATGTATGCACTGGAGTCTGACGGGCTGGTTGATTAATCACACCAACCCCACAACTATTTCCTGCCGACTCTCCCCATCTACAAAGCCTATTACTCAATGTTCATTAATGTGCATCTACAGCCCATCAATCAGGTCATAATTAGCTATAAACTTATTTATAAATAGGATGTTAATGTAAAGTTGCAGTCTGTCCCCGGTCACGTAAGAAGGTGGCTTTGGGTCTGGCTGGGTGGGGACCCTGTGTCTGGCACTGGGGAATTCCCGTGCTCAAAGTCAGCTCTTGCTTTCCAAAGCCTCTCACCCTGTGGGGAAAACCGGGCCACCAAAAATTGCGCTAAATAAGGAAAAAGACGTGGGCAGATTTTTCAGTGGCCAAAGGGAGCAGGGAAGGGAAGCTCCAGAGCGCAAAGGGCTGCCTGTTTTTTGGCAACATAGGTACTTTTCCAAGCGAAGTTTTCAGGGAGGATGGAAATGCCGATGCTGAGCAGCGTTTTGGATGAATTATGGCATCGTACGCTGGCTTAAACCCTCTGCGCAGCACCCCTGGGCGCTCGGCAAGCGATGCTGGCCCTCTGCAGAGCTAACAGGGGGAAGGGGTTGGGTATTTCCCCCTGCAGAGCAAAGCAGGATGGACTGTCAGCACCACGGCTGCGGCAATCTTTAGCCAGAGGTAGGCAGGGAAAAGTTTTTACTGACATGAAGCCTTGGAGAAGATGCTGGAGGGCGAGAAGATGCTGGAGAGTTTGATGGTACAGCGAAGGGACGCAGAGGCGGGCAGATTGGGCATATTCTTCCACGAGTGGAGGATGACAAGGGACAGGGATGGATGGACGTGGAGGTAAGAGGATAAAAGACTGATTTAAGACATTTTCTTCTTGGAGAAGGGGAGAAGCATTATGAGCTGAGGCACTGGGAGTGTTGCTAAAGCCTGAAAAGCAGAGCCCCACATTTTCCCCTGGGGAGGATCTCGAGGAATTTTCAAGTATTGGCCGAGCTGCGTGGAGGAGATTTTGCAGGGGTGAGGCTGTGAGAGCTGGGTCCCATCCTGCTGCCAAGCAAGCCCACATCAGCTGTGTCAGCTCTGCCCATCCTTCGGCTCCTTGCCCTGTTGCAATCGCTTTTGCAAGTGCCCAGCTCTGCTAGCAAAAATAGATACATAGCACGCACAGAGCAATACGAAGCTCCTGCTCTGCCCTGGGAGCCTCCCAAAGCCTTGCAGAGCCCCCTGAGACCACCCAGGCGTAAAACCCACTCGAGGTCTCTTCTCTTATTCCAGTGGCAGTGCAAAAGGGCAAAGAGGATCATACGCTTCTGAATCGCACTGGCCAGGCCCTGCCCTTCCCTCGGCTGCTGCAATAAGCCCGTCTTTTCTTGCAATCCCTCTTGGCAGGCCAAGGAGAGTGGGGAGGGACCTGGCTGCCCTCCAAGGAGAAGCAAATGCAAATATTTCTTCACTTCAGGCTGGGTGCGGCGCAGGGATAAAATTTCCCTGGGCTTTCCCAGTGAAGGCATCTGATACTGTACCCCGCTGCGAGACCAGTTTGCTCCCAGGAATACAATGGTGTATCCCATAAAAAAACCCCAAGTTATCCTTCTTTCAACTCAAAGGGCTGCCTGATTTTTAAAAACAGCTTTTAAATTAAAGGAGGAGGTGACAGACATGGCTGTAGTATTTTAGAATCGGTGGTCAAAGTGTTCCTTTGTAACAAATAAGGCCTTTTTGCAGGTTTTGTTTGCAAGACGAAGATTCTGGCTTGGCGCGAGGAAAGCAAGCCTGTAAAGGGAAATGGGCTGGGATGCACCTTCTCCCGGCATCCTCCAACCCAGTGAGCCATGAGAAATGCAAAAAGCAAAGAGTGAGGGATGAGCCGGATTCCTCGCGTGCCTTCACTCTGCCATCACCGCCTCCAAGGTGCTGGGAAGGAGCTGCCGAGAGGGAAACGCTGCAGGAGGGGAAACTGAGGCTGAAGCAGCCGCTGGGACTTTGCTGGCTGGAAAAGGTGCTGGGCGGAGTGTTGGGTGCTTAGTGCTAATGATGTTTTGTGTTTTTTGTTTGTTTGTTTGTGTTTTTTGTTGTTTTGTTTTTTTTTTTTTTCCAAATGGGACTGAGAGAGCTGGAGGAAAAATGGGCTCTTCCTTTGGTCGACCTGGGTTAATTGCAACCCTATCCCAGCCGGCTTGCTGCAGCGTCATCCTTCCCCGCAGAGCATTCAGACCCGTTTTCTGCACTTTCCAACCTAAAAAACTAGCATTTTTTAAGTGAGTGATCTGATCCTGTTGGTTAAGGGAGAGAGGGGGAAAACAGCATGAATTACTGTGGGAGTAGCCCAAAACCTAAATTTCTCCAGCTTCATTACACAGCACAGGCAGGTTATAGGAAAAAAAAAAAATCAATATTCTCTTTTTTCTCCCCATTTTCCCCTCATAACTGAAACACCCAGCTCCATTATTTCTTTTTAAAGCACAGCGTGTTTTCAATAACATGAAGCGAAATGGATGCAGCTGGTTACGCAAGCATGTTACCAGGCTGCAAGTGATACACTGTGTTATTAAAAAAAAACAAAAAAACAAAAAACAAACCCAAACCAACCCACCTGGTTTCTGAAAATAGATGCACAGCACATGCCTGCAAGTGAAGTGGGGCTCTGACATTTTATATCCCAGCTTTCCTTCATTGTATCAGCAGCGATTACAGCATCCCACAGCCCTACTTCCCGAAAATTAACAATTTTCGCCCAGACCTGGCTTCAAGCAGTTTATGTTACGTCTTTATTTTGCTGGAGTATCCATTAGAGTTCATTAGGTGAGGGGTTTTAATTTTTGAAAGAAGAGCTTTTCCTCGCAGAGGTTATCCCGTTTGTCAAGGCGGCTTATTGACCTTGGTGATTTATCACCGAGAAAAAAGCTGGAGGGAGAAGGCGGCACAGGGAACAGCTCCTAAAAAAATAAATATATCCCTTAATTCTCCATGCGGCTAAACTTTCCCTCACAGCCCAGCCGGGGGAATATACTTTAATCTCCTTTATCGGATTGCTTCGTCCGAGGCTGAATCTCGCTGAGGCGATCGGCCTCCACCGGGCGTTTTAAGGGCACCACGATTTTAAAGGAGAAAGAGAAATAAAGGAGAGAATGGAGGGCGTTTGCCCGACAGGACGGGGAGGAGACGGCCCCTCACGGCCCGGCCCCGCCGCCTCCCGCTCCACAGCGCCGCCTCGCCCGCGCTCGGGCAGGAGCTGCCCCCCGCCGCTCGCTTCACAAAATGGCCGCCCGGCGGGGCCACGGCGAGCTGCGCCGAGGCGACAAAATGGCGCCGAGCGGGCAGCGGCGGCAAAGGACGGGCGATGCGCGGCTGCGGGGGCCGGGGCGGCGAGCGGGGGCTTGAGCCGTGCCAGGAGCGCGGCGGAGGGGCTCCTCCCGATGTGCGTATCCCCTCCAAGCGGGCAGTGGCAGTGCTGCGGGTGAAACCTGACCTTCCCACCCTCCCCCCAGCCCTTTTCTCCCCGGAGCCTTTGTAGAAGGATGCGAAAATGCCCAGAAATGCGCATTTCCCCTCGGCCACGGGGGTGGCGGAGGCCTCGGCCTCCCCTCCGCTGCCGCCATTGCTGCCTCAGGTTCCCCCCCCCCGGCACCATTGTCCCCTCGTTCCCCTCACAGCGCAGCTCGCCAGCACCGACCCGATGTTTTTGGTTTTGTTTTTTTTTTTTTTTTTTTCATCGTAGCATGAAGATTTTTGGCCCAGAATTGCTCTTTCCACACGTCGTGTGTCGTGTCCCCCAGCATCACTACACTCACACCAAGGTGGGTAGCTTTATGCCTAATTCTTTTCCACCCCTTTTCTCCGTTGCAGAGGTTGAAGCCACCACCTCCCGCTCTCCTCACGGTGTGGAAAACACCCAAACGCACTTAAAAAAAAAAAAAACAAAAACAACAACAAACCCAAACTAACCCCAAAACACCCGAAGACTGATTTATTTTCCGAGCCGGAGTGGTGCAGGGAAGACGCTGTCGCCGCTTGCCTTGCTCCCCACGATAACCCGCTCACCAGTCGGTTAATTAAAAGCATATACTTGGTGTGATCAGACATGGTAATACCGTTAAAAAAAAAAAAAAAAACAAAAAAACCCAAAACAAACCTCGTAACAGCCAAATGCTCGTTGCTGGAGGCTGCAGCCAAGGTACCACGTATGCTGCTTTTTTTTTTTTTTTTTAGTATTTTTTTAATGTTGCCTTACCTTTTTTCTGTACCAGTGTTGTTACAGGCTACATTATAACATTGCCCTTTCTTTGTTAAAAACCAAATGCCTAAAATACTGCTTTTTTTTTTTTTTTTTTTCCCCCCTGGAATTACAAATTTAGGCCCATACAGATGCTCTTTTATTTCTACACATACAGCAATAGTTCCATATATTCACTACACGTTTTTATATATATGTATCTCCTTTTTCCAGGGACTGATTACAGAATATAAAATAACCCCACACACCGAAAACACTTATGATTATATATAATCAACTGGAATTTTGGACCATATATATGTTTGATTTTATATATATATATTACCTTTGTTTTCCTCCATTGGCTTTCTACTACAATATATCCTAAAAGCAGGAGAAAAAAAATGCCATAAAAAAAAAAAAAAACACACAAAAACCAAAAAGCAACCCATATCTTTTTTACAGTCCATGGTGGAAGTTTGTGCCTGAATGTTTTTTGTTCCACAGAGATGCAGATTTTCCTTGGGAGATTTGGGGAGGATTTTTTTAAATTAAAAAGAAAAAATACACCCAGAAAAAGAACAATAAAAGAGAACCAAGAAGAAAAAAAGCACACAAAAACAAACCCCAGTAACTGAAGCTGTAAATGCAGTCAAATAGTCCGGATCAGACAATTCATTGCCACAAAAAGAGAGGACAAATTAGTTCAACTGAAATGGCAGGGCTTTGCTGTAGATCCGGGAGGAGGGATCAGCTCCTTTATCCCACCATCTAGCGCTCCAAACACCACCATTTTTTTTTTTTTTTTTTGTGCTTTGTGTTGGGGCGTTTTATTTAAAGCCAAGCAGGCTGCAAAACCCTGCCGAGCCAGGGCTGCCAAAGCCGCTTGTGGGCTTAATTTTTATATAAATCTATTTTTTCTCCCTGCACGCACCCCATCCTTGTGCAATCCTCTCCCTTTTATTATGTGCTCTATTGCTTGCTCTCTTCCCCCCCCCCCCCCTTCCTCTGCGGGTATAAAGGTTTCTCTTCTGTCTCCTGCTTGGCTGCTTATTCCAGAAGTTTCTACAGGGGAGGGGAGCACCCACTGCGGAGCCTTTGCCGCAGCGCCGGGCAGGCGTGGTCCCTGCCGCCGGGGGAGGAGGAGGAGGAGCAGGATGCAGAGAATGCACCACCTCTCACTGCCTTCCCTCCCCGGCTGCCAGCCTTTTTCCAAGCCTCTCCCCCCTTGCTAGATTTCCCCATCCTTGAAAAGGGTGCTGGGAGGTGTTTGCAAGGGTGGTGTGTTTGGTTTTTTTTTTTTGTGTTTTTTTTTTTTATTTTTTTTTTTTGTTGCGGGCTTTTTTAATTTTTTTTTTTCCCCTCCCCCTTTGCTAAATAAATTAAAAGCAGAGATGTCTCCTGAAGGAGATGGATGAGGCTGGGCTCGCAGCAATGGAGTTGCTCACTTGCACGCACTGCCGCAGCCTTGATCTGGTGTAGCGAGGGCACTGATGGCAGAAGTGACCCTTCCCAGGCGGAGGGTGGGAGGCTTCCCCCCCCTGCCCCGACATGCTCCCGATTGGAATTAATTTTAAATAGCAGAGTTGTTATTTTTTATTTTCTTTCCCCCTTTCCCTTAAAGAACAGCTTGCTCTTTCAGTGGTGTTTTTTTTTCTTGGTAGCCTGTGAGTTGAAGCTTCCTCATGATCGTGGGTTGGTTTTGTTTTTTGTTTTGTTTTTTTTTTTTCCCCTGTGTGTGTGTGTGCGTGTGTGTTTTGAATTGCATTTTAAAATTGCCCAGCTGGAGACAAGTCTTGATTAGATCTGGAACAATAGCTCCATTTTATTAATAATGGGAAGGATTTACAATCCTACAGCACCTTCTTTGGAAGGCTTTCAAAATCATTTGCAAACACTCACAAATTTAAGATTTCACAGCCCTTGTCTGTGAGATGGGTAAGTATTTTAATGCTGCCACCACCAAAAATCAGGTTGGTGGCAAATCTCCATTTCCGAGTGCTTAAAAAGATGACAAATTTGGTGGGTTTTAGGGCTGCAAAACTGGAAGGGAGGGGGAGGTTGCTAAGTGGGGCTGGCTAAAAGCTGTAACCTCAATCTGTTCAGTGTTCTCTAGATGCAGAGTAGCTGCTGTGTCCTGGGAACTGGGCTGTTATTTTTCTGCCTGCTCCATCCAGACAACCATGCAGCTTGCCAGAGTGAAGCTGTGGGCTTGCCTGCTTGTCAGTAAACATCTGCTCATAGATTTTTTTGTTTTGTTTTTGTTTTGTTTTAATTCACTACCTTTTTGTAGTCCCCAGGTGACCTCCTTTAGTGCTGGTTCGGCTGTGGTTTGACCACAGCTTTGCATTAAAGCAGGCTGGCTAGCGCTGACGTGTCTCCCTGTGAGCCAGAATGACCTTGCTTGGGGGACGGGGCCCACCGAGCTAATGCAGATGCTCTGCTTCGATTACAGTACCCGCCCTGACCAAGGTAGTGCAGGGGAATGTTGCAATATTATGGGTGAAAGCTGTTTTATGCCTTATTTTTTTTTCCTTCCCAGGGAAATAGAGGCTTGTTTGTGTAACCCCTCTCCACAGCAGATACCTTCTTTGTAAGTATTGTAAACACACAGGGATAGAAGAGCTGTCTGGGCAGCTTTGCAGAGGAACGTAAGGCACAGTTCTCTGGTTGTGTAAGTGTGTGTTGTACATGGGCCACAGAAACCCACAATGTTTCTGTGGTTACTTCTATCTGGATAGCATGAGTAGGTCCCAGGGCTTCCCCTTCCCACTACTTACTATTTCACAAAAGCAAAGGCTGGTGCTTCTGGAAAAAGCTCTGCCGTGTGGCCTTTAAAAAAAAAAAAATAAAGAAAAACTGCTCTGGATTAGTCATCCTTATTTTTAAAGGAAGCTGTGTTTGCCAGTCCTAGCCTAGTATAACGCATGTGCGTGTGAGATACTAACTAGCTCTCCTTGCAAAGGCTGGTAATGTACTCTGGTTGCTGCTCTTTGGAGCAGTGCCACTGAGGCTCCCTCGAGCTGCTGCTGGCAGGTGGAAAAACTGACAGTCCAGCTCTTCATCCCCTTCCCTCCATTTTCCTTTTTCAGTGCTGGTATCTCTGCATTGGCAGATATGGAACTGTAGAGACCGTAACAACAGTAAGCAAGGACAGATGACAGGGTCACTTCCAACACCAGAGAGAAACTCTGGTGTTTGTTTTTTTTTTTTTTTTTTAATCTTGCCTGTGGTAGCTTTTACTCTAAGCTCCACTGTATCTTGTGTGAAGACTTGAGTTTGATCCTTTTGGGTGCTAAAAATAGTACTGTTTTTAAACCTTAAGTGGTTTTTTCCCTTCCCTGTGGTCACACAGAAGAGCGAGCCATGCAATTAAAGTGGACAAAGGACAGCTCCCTCCCCCTTTCCCCTTTCAGAAAACCTTCCAGAGTTGTGTGCTCTTGAACTGCTGCATAGGCAGAAAATATACAATGCACTTGTCAGCATTGTGCTGATGTGTGGCACATTTAAAAGAAAAAAAATACACACAAAAGGGGTGGGGAGAACAGTTGCCTCCAGGGAGTAAAACTGTGGGGCCCCTTTCCCTAAAAGCGAACAGCCCTACGCATGATAGTATATTACTCCTACTTTTGCTTAGGCAAATGCAATGGGTAAACGTCGGAGGGAGCATTGCAACATCCTAAATTGTGTTGGTAAGGATCAGGGTCCCCTTGAATTATTATTTTTTTTTTTTTTCTGTGAACTTGCTTCCGTGAGATGCTGCCATTTTATTACTTGATTCCTCAAAGTCGTGCTCATTCACCAGGAAGAAGGAAAACGTTTCCTTACTGGTTGCAATTTCTTTTGTTGTGTTGCAAAAGGTAATAAAAAGCACCTGGTGCTGGTCTCTTCTAGGTCACACATGACTTCAAGGCACAAAGTCCCAGCAATCATTAGTGTGCAAGGAGTGTTAGGTATTGGCACCTTCTAGTTAGCATCCCTTAATGACAATATTGGCATCTGTGTTGCATGAATGCCTCTGGCTGACCAGTGGAGAGGCCCTGCCCTGCTAAACTGGAGCAACACCTCGTGAGAAATGCAGTGATTTCACTGCCAATGAGGCAGTCTGGTTGCTGCAGTGATTTGTAGTGCAGCTATGACTTTATGTTTTTCTGGCAGAAATTTAGCAGAGGGTAAGTATGAGGTGTCCAGGCCAGATTTCATACTGTGTTCCCTGCGGTGGAGAGCTGGGGAAAGTTGGTGTGTGGTATATGTGAAAATTGTCAGTAGCTCCTGTGCCTAAAGCCTTGTCTATACTTGAATTAAACCAGCATGGACAGGGATGTTAATTTTATTCTCTTGCTAGGGATGTGTTGGTTTGGAGATCTGCCTCATGCTCATCAGAGGCCTTCGCTGGCATGGAGGTCTGGTGGACCAAGAAGCTGGCTGGGCTGGATGTTTCCACATTTTTCAGGTTGGCACACCCTGTGGGACTTGGAATTACTTTTCTTTGGCAGTTTAGGACAAACGGGTGAGAATTACCTTGCGAGCACTGAACTTTTACCACCCTCTGCTTTGGACTGAGGAGTTCCTAGAACTACATCCATGAGATTTCCAAGCTAAACAAAACCTGAATTTCCAGTGCCAAAAAGCCAGTGAGTGATAGAAACGTCTGCTCTTCCTCCATGAGGGGGAAGCCACAGTCTTTCAAGCTTTCCTGTTATCCCAAAGAGTTAAAAAGCTGCATCGTGAGATCTGCAGAGGTAAAATGAAAGTCAAAGCTAGCCGAGAAACTGTTCTCCTGTGCTGTATTGCTGAAGAGGTTTTCGAGTGCAGCAGGTCTCAATGCACAAGTATCTTTCTTCTGTGCTTCTCTCTGAAGTGAGAGCGATAACTGCACAACCACGCGTTCAGTCTGCTCCATTTAAAATGCTGTCAAAGTTCCTTTGGTATCAAAATGTTATTTGATGAAACAAAAGCTCCGATGGCTGGCTCAGTATTTATTTTGTGCCATCAATCCGATGGGAAATGTAGGGAAGAGCAGCCTTTAGCTCACAGGTTTGGACTGTGGGGTTTGTGTTCTCCAGCAAAATTTCTGTGATTTTTCCTGGGCATTGCACACAGGGTCTTTATGTAGAGGTAATGCAACAATTGGGTATTAAAAATTACGAAGTACAGGATACAGTGTTCTATCCAGTCCTAGAGGATTTATATCCTTTGCAGTTGTCATATTTGGGTATCAAATCACATGGGGCTGACTTTTTTTTGTTTTGTTTTTCCCCTAAAATGTATTATTTTGCAGCCTGGAAGACCAAAGTCCTCTCTGTCTAGCTGGTGAAATGTCCTGTGTTTGGGAAAAACCCTTGTGAGTTGAGCGGGTACAGCTCTTTGGTACATGGTTGCACAGAAGTTGGGAGGCAAGAGGAAGCAGGGCAGAAGACAGAACTGTGATATTTCTGATTTTTCCAAACAACAGGCAAAAAAAGTAAGGTATTAATTCTAATATATCTACTACATTGTAAGCAAGAGTAAGCTCTTTTGCAGTCTTGTGATGGCACATGGTGTTTTGGTTCCATGGCTCAGCAGTTGCACTCTGCTGCAGAAGAAACGTCTGTGTTTGTATATTTTGAAAACAGAAGTGTGCTTTTATATATGTACAAATGGGTTCAGTGTAAACTGAATTCCAGGGGGCTCCTGAGCTGTGTTTACTGTGCTGCAGAGGGTAACCAGTGCTAACCCACCAGCTACAGTGGCGGTATTTTGTGGCAGCTCCCATCCCTGGTACTGTGTGGATAAGAACACCACCACCATGAAGTCTAGCGGGGAAGAGCGTTAGAAAATAAATTACTGAATACTGGCTTTCAAAAACATGAAGGGAGTTTTCTGGACAAGGGCATCTCATTGTGAAGATCTGGAGCACTAACCCTCGAAGAGGAAAGAACCGAAACCAACAGCTTTATTAATACAAATCCTATACTTTGCATTGCTTAGGATCCAGAACCAGGCTTCGTGTTCGAAGTGTTATCAGTGTGTAAGCCAATATCCTCTGTCTTGGCAACAAATGAGCCCAAATATCAAACAGCACCAGTTCCTTCTCGGAGAAAATTATCCATTGCATAAAACGTAATGGGTAAGCAATAAAATTAGGCCAGTAATTCAGGCTGGCTTAAAAATGAGATAAAAGCCTAGCTGGCAATCTGATATTCGGCTGCCATACAGTCATTTTAATAAAGAAAGTAAATGAGCAGGAAAGGCACGTAAATACATTTTACAATGACAAGATGGTGGCTGGAGCTGCCTGGCTTGAACAAAGAAACACTCCGAGTGTCTCTGGTGGGGTCCAGAGGCTCCTGTCTGGGTCACCTACTGTTTTTCTGTAAAAAAAACAAAGCAAGCTGGATGCGTACTGGACAGTGATGAGGATAATCATTGCGTGCTGCTAATGCGACCACTCTAATCCATGCGAGTCCCCGGTCGACGTAGCTAGCCAGTGTCCCCAACTACGGGGAGAGGCGCAATGCCTCCCTTCCCCACCTCCAGCTGTGCTGCTGTGAGCACAAAATGCAGAGCTAGTGCTAAGCCAGAACCAAGTATAGGAAGTTACAGTCTTAGCAAACATAGCTCTGGTTGCCGTCCTTGTTCGGTATCTAATCTTTGCTTTTTTAAATGTTTGGCAAGCAGTCCTGGCGACACGTGGCAGCGAGCAACACCACTTGTGTAAGACGCCTCATTAAAAATGTACGAACTTGTCTTTTCAAGCATTTCTACTTGCTTCTACTTATTGACATTTCTTCCTCAAAGGGAGGCTCTCTGGCTGTTTGTGTGGACCCCAATGATGTTTTCTGATTTTCCTGTTGTGTTTTTTTTTTTTTTTTTTATCCTCCCAACTGGAGAGCTGCTAACTTTATTAGCTCCTTATATGGCAGCACCATTTTCTCACGCCTTTAATGGATCTCTTTTGATCTGTCCTGTTCTTGCTTTGCTTTTCTTGATGTGAACGTGGTGTTCAAGCTGTGATGGGTTTATAACCTGCTCCCTCATTAATATATGGCCTGGCATTTTAATCCTCTCCAAGTGCTGATAAGAAACGTCCAAATGTTTTAACTGCGGGGCTGGCCGAGATGCCCGGAGATAGCTGGGTTCTTGGCTACACCCACTGCACGGGCATGAGTAATTTAAATTGTGCCGTGTGGCACACCAGATCCTGCCCTTGCGTGTCCCGAAGGCTGAGGGCCGTCGGGTGATGGAGAGCGGCTGAAGTCCGCTGTTCCTCAGCTGTTTGTCCCTCTGGGAAGGGTAGCACGCAGTGTGTCCGTGTCTCGCCTCTGGACGCTCATCGTGTTGTCACCAGCGGCAGGAGAGTAGGCTGCTGTGAATGTGTGTTCCTTCTGCAGGGGCAAGGACGGCGTTCGTTGCCGCCACGTAAGATGGGTCCTTCATCGAGGCCCCTTTGGCCTGCTGAGAGGAATGTTATGCTCACTCTTGGTCTCTAGCCTGAGTCTGTGTTCTTTAAAATCTTCGAATGAGTTGGAGGGATCCGGTTACAGCAGCATCGCCCAAGTGCAGTCGTGTGTTGCAACTAGGAACAGTTTCCCCCCAAAGCGTTTGAAAAGTATCAGGATGGTCAAGAGCTTCATTTTGCGTCACAGGCCGGGCTTTGTGCTCCTCTTCCAGCTGTTTTTTGTGTAAACGGAGCCCTTCAAGCACTCATCTCAACCGTCTCTTCTGTCAACAGAGTCGATGGCTTTGTTTGCAATCTGTGGATGTCCCTCCCGGCCAGCCTGCCTGCAAGATGGCCGTGTGACAGCAGTGACCCTGCATGAGGTTTCTTCTGAAGGACCTGGGAGCCGGCGTGGTTGTCTCCTGTCCCTTAGAGGTGCCGCCCTAGCAGGGAGGGTGGGGAGGAACGGTTGGAAATCCTGTTGCAGCAAGCACGTTCCATTGGAGAGGAGAGAGTTCGGCACTGAAAGCCGTTTGATGCGTGGTTTGGGTTTCTTCCTCTCCGAAATGGATGCCTGTAGAGCCCGTTAAAGGTATAGACACGTAGCAACTGCTCTTTGGGCTTCTGACCAGTTAAAACAGAAAACCAAGCCCATTTCCACAGAAAAGAAACATGCGGTGAAAAGTGCTGGTGGAGCGTGTTGGCAGTGCATTTTCTTGTGTGCATGTGGCTCTGTCACATGTTTTAAATAATAGATGGTTTGCATGCAAAGAGTCGTTGGGTTTTGTTTTTTTTTTTTTTTTTAATTAATTAATCAGTAGATCTCGGTTTGGCAGAGCAGCGTAACACCCATCATCACTGGGGAAACCGAGGCACGAGGCCGTGAAGGGATGGGATTGCAGCTGCCTGGTAGCAAAGTTAGGGATCTGGAGTCTGCTGCGGCTCCAGTCAATGTGCGTCAGAGGTCTGATTAAATCAAGAGATTTGCATGTTTGTTAAGCTACCTATAGCTTGATGACTTTGACCAGTTGTCGAAGTGGACTTGTTGCCAGAAGGTTACAGCAGCCCTGGGCAGGGTCTGGCTGGAACAGGTTGGCAAAGGCTGCAAAGCTGAATGCCACTCGCCCTGACAAATAAAACGTGGTTTTAATCAATAGAGAAGCGCCGTCAGGAGGCTTTGGCCAGGGAAAATACTGAAATATCGGTGTGCCATGTGTGGTGAAAGCAGCTAACCGGCTGCAAAAGAAAGGACTCGTGGCCCTGGGTGCGTGTTTGGTTTTATCCTGACCTCAAACTGCTCGGAATCTCGCGGTGGTAATCGGTTGGGGATTTTCCTTTTGGGGCATAGAAATAGGTGTTTTTAGCCATGCAGAGGCACATTTTGGTGGAAAATAAAATCTTCTGGGTTGAAAACCGTCTAGCTCCACATTGCAGAGCTGCCGTTTGAGCAGGGACAGGGTGCAACATCGAGTCGGTTCCCTTCTGCAAGCAGGGTGATACTCCCAAGGAGCATTTTCTGCACCCTGCCTTTATTAAAGAGCTCTGCAAAAACCCAGTGGAGGACAAGGGGGGTGACTCACGCCTGAACCCCCCTCCACAGTGGGTGTTTCTGTCGCGCCATTCTCGGGGCGATGGGGCCTCCCCATTGCCGTGGAGGGAAATACTTTGGACGGCTGGGAAGATTTGGTGACCTCCTGCCCTGTTTGCTGTTGCGGCCAGTGCTGCCAGCCCTGCTTGGGGTTGCCTATAGCTCTGAACTTTGGAGCCATTAGCAGAGCTATAGGCTCCCAAATGGCCCAGCAACGCAGGGCCCTGAATTAATTTTTTACTGGCTCTTGCCAATTGCAGCAAGCTGGGTTTTCTTCTGCTTGGGGATAAAGACAGTTTGTGCTCAGGATGGGGAAGGTCCCTATGCCCCCGTTTCTTGCTGGGGGCTGTTGGTGTCACAGCCAGCGAGGAGGCTGCAGTGCCCAGCAAGGACCCCCCCGGCTGGGGGAAGCCCACGGGAGCATTTTCCTGTGCCCCTCAGCCACAGTCTGGCTGCAAACGGGGCGCTGGCTACCAGCAAGACCTTGCCCTTGCATTGCAGCCCCCTCTATTTTTTGCAGTATGACCCTTTTTTTTTTTTTTTCAGTATAACCCTTTTTTTTTTTTTTTTTTTTGTATAGCACTGCCTCTTTTTTTCAATGCAGCCTCCCTTTATTTTTTGCATGGCACCTCATTTTTTTTTTGCAATGCAGCCCCCCCTTATCTGTTGCACAGCACCCTCATTTTGCAGTGCAACCCCTTTATTTTTTTTTGCAACGCAGCCCCCCCTTTATCTGTTGCAGTGCACCCCCCTCTTTTGCGACGCAGCCTCCCCCTTTTTCTTTCCCATAGCACCCCCCCGTTTTGCAGTGCAGTCCCTTTTTTTCTTTGCAACGCAGCCCCCCCTTATCTGTTGCACAGCACCCTCGCTTTGCGATGCAACCCCTTTATTTTTTTTTTTTGCAGAACCCCGCTTTTTGCGACACCCCCCCCCCCCCACTTTTTTACTTTGCATTGCAGCCCCTCGCCCCCCTCCGCGTGCAGCCGCGCAGGCGCATTCCGCCGCGCTCCTCAGCCCCGCGCGGGGGAGGGGCGTTGCGCGCCCGCGCTCCGCCCCCGCCGCCGGGGCCGCGGCGCGCGCCCCAGGGCGCAGTGCGCCTGCGCGGGGGCCCCCGTGTGGCGCTGCGAGAGGCGCGGGGAAGGGAAGGGGAGGGGAGGGGGGGGGGGGGAAGAGCGAGCGGAGCCGCCAGAGGAGCGGGAGCGCGGAGGGGGGGAAGGAGGAGGCGGCGGCGGGGGGGGGGGGGCGCCGCGCTGCCGCTGACGGAGGAGGAGGAGGAGGAGGAGGAAGCGGGAGCGAGCGAGCGAGGGCCGCGGCGGGGGGAGCCGGGGAGGAAGAAAACCCGCGGCGGAGGGGGAGCCCGCCGCCCGCCAGCCGGCCCGCCAGCCAGGGGGCCCCCCCGGAGGGGATGGTGTCGTCCGCCGCCGCCGCCGCGGGGGGAGGCAGCCGGCGGCGCTGAGGGCGGCAGGGCCCCGCGGCGGAAGAGGCGGAGGGCGGCGAGGAGGAGGAGGAGGAGGAGGAGGCGGCGGCGGGCGGCGAGCGGCGGCCGGCAGCGCTGCGCGGGGGGAGGCGGCGGCAGCGGCCGGGAGCCGGGGCAGGGGCGGCGGGCTCGCCCCGCGCCGCGCAGCATGGTCCGGGAAACCAGGCACCTCTGGGTGGGCAACTTGCCGGAGAACGTGCGTGAGGAGAAGATCATCGAGCACTTCAAGCGGTGAGTGGGGGGGGGGGGGGGGGGGTGTCTGCGCCGGTCCTTCCCGCGCCCTCGGGGCGCTCTCCCCACCCTTCCCCCGGGGAGGCCCTTTCGGCGCCCCCTCCTTCCCTCGGTTTGAGGAGAACCGGGAATAAAAACCCGTAAAAAAAGGTATGGGGGAGGGAGGAATGCGGGGGGGGGGGGGGGGACGGTGGCTCCCGCGGCCTGTGGAGAGGAGGAGGAGGAAAACAAAATCGCTGTAAATAACCCCCGCGCCATGGCGAGGATCGTCCGCAGAGGGCTGGCGGCGTGGACGGACCTGCGGGGAGACCTGCCGGAGCGGAGAAAAATAAAATAATCGTAATAACGACTAAAAATAAACCACGAAAAGACGGAGGAGCAGTGTGTCGACGCTCGGCTTTCTGCACGGAGTGGATTTCATGCCGAGGGGGGTGCGCGGAGTCTCGGAGGCAGCCTTAAGCCTGGCCATCTTGCTTCTCCATTGCTTTTTTTTTAATTTATTTTTTTTTGAAACAACGCTTGGAGTTTTCTCGTTTTATTTTCCCCTCTTTTTACTGTGTTTTCCTCTATCTGGAGCCACCCCGGCGCTAAGGATGCTGCGTGTGTCCCCCCCTCCCCCCGAGGTGCAGCGAACGGTGGGAACCGAAGTGCCTGCAGCTGCAAAAACGTGACTCAAAAAAAAAAAAAAAAATCTCACAAACCCACGAAGAAAACACCGGATCTCCACGCGGGAAGCTCTCTGGACTTCTCATATTGTGGTGGTTGTTTTTTTTTTTTTTTCTTTTTGTTGTTGTTGCAGAGATTAATCCTGCTCATAAGGAAGTAGTAGCTGTTTGCATGGTTGTATTTTTCCCTCCTCCCTTCGTCTTTTCATGCGGGGAGGAGGAGGAGGCTTCTCTCCCCTGCCGCCTCAGCAACACCTTTTTCCTCGGGAAATGCTCTCGCACAAAGTTGATGCCCGGCACACCATGCTGGAAGCCTTTTTTTTTTTTTTTTTTTTTTTTTTTTTTTAATTCTTGTAGGGGAAAAAGAAGGTAACGAGAGCCCAGGATGGTTGCTCAGCTCACAGCCCCTCCAGCCAGGTTGTTTTAATTCACGCACAACCCCTCCCTCCCCCCCCCCCCCCCAAAAAAAAAAAAAAGATTTTGAAGCTTCCTTTAATCTTCCTGTGTTGGAAAAATGACGGAGCGTCTTTAATAATGAGTCACCATGGGAAAAATAGATGCGGTGACACCGTGGGGGGGGGAAGGAAGGTCCCCGCCGTCTCTGCCCGGGCTCCTGCTCGCCTGCTGCTGCGGAGGGGCCGGGGGGGGGGGGTCGCAGCCCCCGTCCCGCTGGCTCTGCCCCGGGGAGCGCGGGTGGTGCCAACCGGGCTCTAAAATGGCGGCGGGGCCCCGGTTGGGGCGGTGGGGGGCAGCCGGGGTCACCCCGGGGGTGCGGGGAGAACACCCCCCCCCCCCCTCCCCGAGGGGGTCTCCTCCATCCTCCTGGCCTGAGCTGCAGCAGCGAAACCCTGCCTCGGCATCGTCAGCGCTCAAAAACGGCCCTAGATTAGTCGAGCTGCACCTTTTTATTTCCTCCCCTGAGCCCAGAATCGCTGCTTCGTCCGTGCCAGCGTGCGGGATGATGGTTTGGTTTGTCCGTCAGTCCAGGTTATGCGCCCCAGTGTTGTATAAAGGCAGGGGTTTTGGGGAAAGAACCCGCTCCAGGCTCGGTTGTTTAATTCCAGACATAGCTAACTGAAGGAACAGGCACTCAAAAGTGGAAATTTGACATTCCTGGCTCTTACTTTGTCCAGTCCGCCTCCTTTTGTAAGATGTATTAAAGCAGGAAAAAAGTTGCTATGGTACTGTTGCTTGGAGATGGATGGGAAAAAATGGCAGGCGCTGAATTGTTAATTACCTTTTTTTGGTTGTTTTTACCTTTGTGAGTTTCAGTCGGAGGTTTGGGAAGGAGGTTTGCAGCCAGGCAAGCCCCCCCTCATTTCTGCAATTTCTTGCCATTTTTCAAAACTGATTTTGGACTGGGATTTGTGTGTTTGGGTGAGGCTGATCTCACGCAAGTAAACACAGTTAAAATACGCTTCAAAACGTTTGGCTATGGGTGCAGGTACTAATGCACGGGGGGGAAAGGACACGCTGCCTCCCCAGCCTTTTGGGGATCTAAACATAAAAATTTGTGGGTGTAAAAGGGGTAGAGGCATGTATGCTGAGCCGGGTTTCAGGCTCAATGTATAGGTGCTGTAGGTGGACAATGGAGCAAGGCTTCCTTTGTATGCTGGTTCTCGCCTGGGGGAAGGGACACGTTACACAAGCATTGCATGGCGTGGTGGGTATATCCACAGGGAAGGCGGCTGCCTGAGCGTGGAGGTGGGATGGGGAAAGCTCCCTCCTTGGAAAGGAAGGTTTAGTTTGGAGAGAAAGTCTGTTCAGATGGAGCTGGGCTTGGCGAAACCCAGTTCCCACCCATCCCCCA